CGTTAGTACATGAGGCCCCAGATCTTCAAATCACTCAAAACGATTAACTGATTTTCGAAATAGGCGACAAATAGCCGATTAATCGTCGCAGCTTAAATATATTCCAAACATCGTTTTACATTATTCCCTCACAAATATACTTTTTCATCTTAACCTGTCAATGGAAAAAATAGGATGATTTTCTATTTGTCAATACAAGTAAATAAATTCTGTATTCTTTCAAATAAACTATTAAGAATATCTTTCCAAAAGACAGCATATTTAAAGGGATATTTTGAATATTTTAAAGTGAGGTTGTATGAGGTACTTATCCTTAGTGTAGTGCCAAAATACAGCTCTGCAAGGCTTATGTATCACATTAGAAATACTCTCTCATTTTTACAATTTAAACATAAAGATATTTACTCATTATGAATCACAAAACATTTCGTCAACCAACCTCTCGCCACCGCCGTCACCTGTCTCTGTATACATTTACAGTTTCTAAAACACAGCTGGTAATAGTTTTCATTGATCAAGCTGCTGACAAAATGGATTTAAATTATTTTAATTTGATTCATTTAACAACCCCAAAGTGAATATGAACAAATTTCACAAAAAGTAATAATAATAAACTTTATTTATAGCACCACAACACAGTTGCAAAGTTATTTACGATAACAGAGAACACATTTAACACACAAAAAAAAGCCATAAAAACATTACATTTACAAGAGTGAATTGAACTAGAATCTCATAAAACACAAATTAAATCAAGGGAACGCCTGTTTGCGGCCCGGATTTCGAGAGTCTTTAGTCCGAAAGAAAAACCTGGCAGAGTTTTGGAAAGTGTTTGATTGACAGAAATGTTTTTGCACAACACTTTCCAATGGAAACAACCCTGCTACCAGGGTGTCACTGCACCACTACTGCAGTCACCACATAGCTCTTCTGTTAGGTCAAAAGCAGATGGCTTCAGTTCAAGCAGTTTATGTGTAAAAACTAAACATAGTGGGATATTTTGCTGCTTAAAGACACAGGTATAAAGCATAAATGGTTATTTTTATACAAGATCTCATTAAATGAGCCTGCCGTGTTCAGATAACTTACTGAAGGGCTGTGGCACTGATCATGTGAACGTGGGAGAAAAAACGGGGTTGACATTTTCTAAAATGAGCCCATTATTCGGTTGGTGTCATCCATAGCTTTTGAAACCTTCAATTCATATCAGTCACTGGCTTTGTTTTATTACAGCATGCTGGGATTCAAGAACTGTTGCCTGCGTGGGTGTCGGTTACAGTTAACCTTTTTATTGTCTGTGCTGTTTGTCTCATGCGAGGGGGATTTGGGCACGCTTTTTTTAAAATTAGATGCGGTTTCATGTTCAGTTATTAATTGCCTTAAGGCAACCGGAGTGACAGCGAGATGTAGAGGGGGTTTCCCCTCGTACAGGACGTGTATGTGGCCAATAAATTCTATGTGAAATTTTGAGGGGACTTAAGGGTTTTTGGTTGCTCACCGACTGTTTCTTTTCAGAAACAGTGTTGCACACCCAGAACTCGGTGGAAACTTCCCTCGTTCACTTCATGTGATTCAGCAACATTTCCACTGGTGGGAAATGTGCAGATTTGCTTGATAGCACATAGAAAATAGACAGCTTCATGTGAACAACTGTTGACAGTCCGATAAGTTGAGGCCGGGCTTTGATGACAGCTAAGCATCCGGTCTTAATCTAAACCCAGAACCCCTGCTGCTGTTCCTGTTGTGATGCATTCAGAGTTTAAACTGCTTAAACATTAAGGAAAACCTGACCTATTCATTTTGTTCCTCCAGTCTAACTGGTCTTGGTCACAACTACAAAAGACACAGAAAATAGAGTCAGTTTGAGACTGCTTTCAGATGGATGGAGCACTGAAAAAGGGATTACAAATAACTGTAAATATCTATAGAACACACCATATGCAGAATATCCCAAAATACTCCATAAAATATAAGAAATCTGTTTCAGTTTAAACTTAATGTGACATTTAAAACAGAGGAAAGCAGCAGTTGAGGAGTTGTGACCAGGAAATGTTCAGTCTGTTAATAAAGGGCTTAACAGTTACTGATTCTTCTTCCACTGACTGATGGATTAATGGAAGAATGAGTTGTTTTTAGTTGTTGGTTTCCACCTGTCGAATATTTGCTAAAAACCAGCTAGATGGACGGATTTTAACATCTTTCCTTCTCTCTCTCTCTGTCTCTCTGTGTGTCTCAGGCATCCATCCGTCACTTAAACGAGGTCCTGGTTGTTGAATCCTTCAACGAGTCCTTGTCTTCCCTCTTGAATCTTAAACCAACACCGCCCCCTTCAGGCGAAAAGAGGAGCAACCATTCATCAGACGAGAGCGACGAGGAGAGTGAGACGGAGAGCACCGGAGGAGAGTATAAACTGCGGGTGGGCACAAACCTCCTCTCCTCCTCCTCTTCGTCTTCAGCGTCGCTGTCAGCTCCCCTGCCCCCCGAGCCTGAACCCAAGCCGAGCTCCTCCTCAGACCAGACGTCAGACTCTGTCGACCCTCAGCCCGATTCTCTGCCAGGACCAGAGCAGCGTGCTTCAGATCCTCCTGCAGAGAGGTCGACCGCACCAGCAATCCAGCTGAATAAAGAGGAGCAGGAGGAGGAGGTGGTTGTGGTGGTAGAGGGGAGCAGCCAGGACGTGAATCTTCTCACGTTAACCTTCGGCACGCATGAGGAGGAGGAGGAGAAATTGCACCTTGTATCTCCCTCTGTGTCAGAGGTGTACACCACTCCAATCCTGCCTGCACAAACAAGGGACAGCAAGGAAGGTGCAGTAGAAACTGTTTGCTGCTCTGTTGATGAGGAGGAGGAGGAAGAGGAAGAAGATTACTCTGGATATATGGGGCGTCCCAGTACACATGTCTTACGGAACTTACTATAGAATTCTTGGGAGATTTCCAGCTGGGAGTTTCATAGTTTGTTTCTTTTCTTAAACACCAGTGACACAGCGTCGCACACACAGCAGCACTGGTCTAAAGGCATTTCCATAGGGGTGTCTAGACACTGAAAACATTATACATTACATATTTAAGTAAATCTCATTACAGGACGGACAACTGAAGTACAGACTGAGTCATAATGTTTGATTCTTCAACTAAAATGACGGTTTAGATTCAGACTTGAATCATTTCTGATTCTTTCTGTTACAAAGTCTATTTTTATAGCTAACAATAGGCCTCATGCAAGAACCATTTAACCACAAGAATCTTCTCATATTTAGTATTTTTGTGGCCCAGACCTTGCCTGTTCTTTAAAATATATATATTAAAGATGGACCACAGCTAAAAGCCCCACAGTGGAATACTCATACTTTACTCTTGGGTGTCGTCTTTATGAAAGTTGCCCATAAATGGAGCAGAACAGGTAGACTGATAGAGCGTCCTTTATTCTGATCGTCCCACGCCTAGAGTCCGACTGATCACAGATGTATCTATCGGTATTGTATGTTGTGTTATCCAATATGCGCTGACCTGAAATGGTATATTGGTGTCACTGCAGAGTTTATCCAGCAGAGTGCGCTGTGATTTATAAAACTGGAAGGCAGCACAGAGTAATGGAGCAGACATCTGTTTGTCTGCACCGTGAGAGAAGACGCAGCTCTCAGCAATGTCAACTAGAATCGGTTGACAGTGTATATCTGTTAAATCCTTTAACATGTTAAAGAGTACTGTTGAAGAAAGCAGCCTTCTGAAGACCTTTGGATAGCCATTTAAATATAAAATCCACATTGAAAAGGTCTATTTTAATTTACTGTATTTTCCACCACATCTCTGAACAGTGAATGTTTCCCCTGTGAAATCCATATCCGTCTCACAAACGTGGGTCAGGCTCTACACATGTCAGGAACACACACGTCTCCGTGAACAGGGGGCTTTTATCGATTAAAAGAAATGACTTGAGAGGTTTAGATAAAAATACAATACTATGATGTTCTTGCATGAGGCCCATTGGCTTCCTCTCCATATAGTTTACTGTGAATCATTACACATCAGTGCTTCCTCTGCAGCCAGAAGGACTCACGTGTTAACCTCTTTAGAGTTCCTGTTTTATAAGTGGACTTATATTCTGTATATTTCTGTGTATTCTCAACGGAGCTGCTTCCAGATAAAAACACAAAAGTTACCATGATTGGACTGATGCTGGAAACCTGTGCACTTACATGTGAGGATTGATCTGCAGCTAGAGGACTACTTCATAAGGGAACAGTATATTCAGGGAATTTCCTTTGGGAATTTTAGGCAAAATCCACCCAAAACAGCCAGTAGAAATGTACTTTGCATCCCTGGATTTTATGTTAGTTGTTGTTTGATAGAACATTTGGAGATCATTCAACTTTAGCAGTAAACATCAGGCTCAGTGTCGTTCATATTGTTCTGAAAATCCCTGACTGATGATGTTGAACAGTTGGAGAGCCTCTTCAGGAAGAATTTACACTTGAGATATTCTCCTTCAGCATGGGAACTGACTTTAAAACAGCTTAGGACAAATAGTTTTGTTTTGTTTTTTAAAAAAAGCTCCACATAATAAGTACTGTATTTTTTTTTAAAAGGCATTTTTATGTGTTGTTATTAGAGAATTAAAGGTCCAGTGTGTAACAATCAGGAGGAACTTTTGGCAGAAATGGAATCTAATATTCATAGTCACCTGAAAATAAGATGTTACCTTCAAAAGAGATGTTTTTATCTGCAGAGCTGGTCCTCTTCTACAGAGACCGCCACATTGAACTGTCATGTCTCTACAGTAGCCCAGAATGGACAAAACCAAATACTGACTACACCAGACAGCCATCATAGTTTCTCCTACACGCTTGGAGTTCAAGAGGTTTCTGTTGTTCTGCAGCTTTACCAGTAGATGGCACTAAATCGCAAACACTGGACCTTTAACTTCTTCACTTTATTCTGAATATGTAATGAGGCTATAATGAGAGCTGAAACTTAAGCGGCAATGAATCAGCAACATTTTTGATATCTTCTTTACTTTTGGATTGACTCATATTTTGAGTCATTTCTCATGCAAAAACTGCAAACTCCAAGCTTCTCAAATGTGTCTCATAATAAGTTTTAGTTTTTGGGGTTCTTTGGGAGTTGGTCGGATAAAACAAGACAATTTTGCCCAAAAATCAGAGCCAGTGAGGATCATGTCTGACAGCAGCACATTTTACAACATTTTAACTCTGAAAGTGCAGTTTTTAAAGATTGTTTTCACCTAGATGATAGTAAAAAATATGTAAAATCCTGTTTTTAATGTGGTCGCTATCTCACATTGTCAACGTCATTCTGTGTGTTTTAATTTGTTTTACATGATTTATTCTTGTAAACTGTGAGCCTGATAAGCATGTATGAATTGTGACCGTATGAGAAATGTTATGTTATACATATTTTATTACATGTCATGTTCAATGTACAGTCATATTAACATTACACTTATTCGAAGTTACACATTGCATCAGGTTATTGAAGTAATATATGTATTATTGCTAGTTATAACTTTATTTAAACTATCTAATCAAACAGATTCCATATATGTGACATTTCTGTATTTTTATACTCATTGTTAAAGCCATTCTGTAACTCAGTGTCAAGCTACTCTGCCTGCTCATATTAATATCATATTCAGTGTTCAGTCCATAAACATGTATTTCACTTCACAAAATAACAACCAATAAAGTTACATTTGACATGTCAATGTTTTGTCATTTGTATTAATGTGAAGGCTTCCCTGTGTACACATTCTTCAAGCTAACTTCCCCAAAGCACAGACAAATATATTTACACACACAATAACAGCATAGAAATAAAACTCACACAGATCAGAAAACAGGGTTAAAAGTTACGTTTGCTGACTCCATTTTCTGCCCAGCCACTGCGACGACTCTCACAGTTAAATGCAGGATTTGAAGGGCAGAATGCACAGGGAGGGACTTCTGGGGAAATAGAAACTCAACCATGAACATGATAACAAACTGTGTGTTCGTTTCCCAACCCCCACACATACCCCCAGCTCCCTCCCTCCCTCCCATCCCTGTCTATATGTTAAAAACAAGAGCCTTATCATCTTGCATACAGCGTTTAACCTGCGAGCCATAACACAGTCCATGGGGGGAAGATGGGGCTGTGGATGCTTCTTCTTCTTCTTCTGCATTTACACCTTGGTAATGCTCCCTGGATTGAATGTGGGGAGGAAGTAGAAGGTTTAAATGGTGAATATCTGAATGTGTTTATGTTACATTTTTGGGTTTTATTAGTATTTGTGTATGTGTGTTTTAATGAGCTCCAGGTCTTTGTTTTTACACCTTTGGACTCAGATTTGTACTTGTATTGTGGCAAGGTGTGTGAAGATGTTGCCAGCGGTAAAAGCAAAGTAATTCTGTTAAGTTGGAAAGTTTGTTAATGCACCGGAAATGTTTGTCTGTAGATTTAGCAATGTGTGGTGGTGTAAAATAAGAAGAGAGAGCAGATAAGATGATTGCAAATTCAAGTAATCTCACTGTGCTTTAAATTTCAGAGTTAATATTGTCATTCTGTCCTCCTCTGCAGTGGTGTGTGATTCCCTCCCCGCACCCTCCAACGTCTCAATTTCCTCCTTCAACATGGAGCACACACTCAGCTTCCTGCCAGGCCCCGGGACCCCCTCCAGTGCCCGCTTCTCTGTTGAAGTCCTCAGCTTCAGGTATTCAGTCAAAATCTTTGTTTAGAGAGGACAGAAATCAGAGAGGTGACAGGACACAGTGAGGCAGGACTCAGGACCAATATTTGTTTGCTCTTAAACCTACTGAGCTACCAGAAAAGCAACATTTGCACACAGATGCACTGATTTTCTGGGGGGAATTTAAATGGAGAAACCACAAAATGAAACTTAACATTATCACAATGATGTTTGCTTCCAGGAACTGTGAACACAGACTTGACTCACGGTTGTATGGCATCACTCCAAAGGCATTAAATTGGAATGACTTTAATTACATGTAGACCGTAGGTCAGCAATCTTTTACTATCAGAAGAGCCATATTGGCCTCCTAAAAAAGAGAAAAATCTGTCTGGAGCCACAAAACATATTTTGTCAAGCCTACAGTCTTTGAAGACTTTTTGAATTTGGCATCCAGAGCTAGCCTACAGTTAGCTGCTGAGGTTTTTGCAAAATATAGCAGAAAGGCACCGGGTCCGGACATGATGCACATTTTAGTTGACGAAAAGTAAAACATATTTTTTATTCTGTGTGTAATGGCTACACATTTTTACAATCATAGGATATAAGAATCACTTCAGATTCATAAAAACGTTAAATGAAAATGAAAGAAACACATGCAGCTCTGGAGCCACAGGCTGCCTATATGTATGACTGTAGATGACTTTATTGTCATTTATTTAAGCCATCCAAGACTCAAACCTCATAGGGGGCTCACTGCAGTTCCAAAAATACATATTTTCCCTCTTACCCGTAGCGCTATTCATCCATTTTGATAGTTTCAGTGTGAGATGCCGAGTTGTGGAGTTATTGGCCGTAGAAATGTCTGCCTTCTCTCCAGAATTATGGAACCAGACAGCACTTGGCTCCTGGTGCTTCAAAAGCCAAAAAATACATTTGAAAAACTCAACAGCAACGTTTTTTTCTGTCTTTCCAGACATCATGACTGAGAAGTTACTCTTGTTAGTTAGATACTGAGAAGTTGTGAGCAGTTTCATGTAGGAATTATTTCCTTTCTACCTAACTACAGCCACTAACCGGAGCCGAAGGTATGCTATCTCATCGGAGCTAGGTGAGCTAGCAAACTTGCCACGGAGGATGGCATTAATGTTTACAGCCTCTCGTCCATGATACATAGGAACCATTGACAGTACATATAAGGGACAGAGTCCGGGTCTGTGAAGTGTCTTAATCCTGCATTCTATGTAATGGCCAGCAGGGGGAGCTCCAATGGCTTCCACAAACCAATAGGAGATGTCACGATAGGTTGACCTCTATGTACGCAGTCGTCACACACACCTAGCCCTAAACCACACCCGTAGCTGATGCCGTAGCGTAGCTGCCAGTAATTCTTCAAAAGAAGACACTACGGTTTGTTCACAAACACATAGCTTGAAGCCAGGCAAGATGGATTCTTGTGTAATCTTGTGATCCTGCGAGTCCAGCTACCTCCCAAGTTAAGCTAATATTGTACCAAATGTACAAATGAGCTTGATGGGAATGTCATTAGTTTCGCAAAATGCATATGATAGCACTAAAAGAAAAGTCAGAGGATGACTAAAGTCAGTACAGTCCATCCTGAGGGGAACATGAATATCTGAACTAGATTCCATGAAAATCAATCAAAAGGTTGTTGACATATTTCACTGGAAAAGTTTATCTGTTGGTGGCGTTACAAGAAAGGTCAGTACCATTTACCCTCTGGGGACCATGAATGCCTGTATGAAATTTCATCTTAATCCATCCAGTTGAGATATTTCTCTCTGTATCAAAGAGGTGGACATCGCCGTCTGTAGAGTCGACTGGCTGGAAATAGAAATCGCTTCCCACATTTCACGTCTGAAATTCCCTGATGAAGATGCTTCCCTCTTGCCCCTATCACACACCTTCATTATGTGTGTTCGGTCTTGCAGCACTGGGAACAAATCCCAATCCCACCTACAAACACAACCAACAAATGTTAGCTTTACCTGTCTACAACAAGACTGCAAACTTGTTGGGGCTGGAAGTGAGGCTCTGCCAGTCATTCATCGTTCATACAGCTGCACTCAGCTGAGACGCTGGTTTAGTGTCATCATCAATTCCTTTTTGTTTAGATCCTGTTTTCCCCTGAACGCCATGTCGTATGTTTCATTTCTGATTCTGAAGCTCTTTGTAACCCTTTGAGTAAGCACTTTCCCTATGAGTGTACTCAATTCATAACAAATGTGATTTCCCCCTATCAAGATGACGCACACCGCCATGTGCTAACATGTAATGTTTTCCCTCACTCCTCTGCATTGACCTTCCCCTGCCATTAGGAGAGTAATTTTTCAGCAGTTGCCTTGGGTGATCATAAGCCTTTGTTTCTGTTTTCTTTCCCCTTGGAGGAAAAACTCATGGAAACAGGTGGCTAGTTGTTCGGCACTGACAGCTGGACAGACGTGCAATCTGACCCGAACGTTCAAGGACCCGTTAAAAAGCTACAGAGCCCGCGTCCGCGCCATCGCACTCAACCAGACATCCTACTGGACGATGTCGCGGGATTTCTACCCTCTAACAGACAGTGAGACACCACCAACACATCTATTTCTCAGACAGTCCGTAATCCTGTTTATACTCATCCAGCTCATTTAAAGATTTATTTTGTTTATCCTGGAAGAAGTTAACTTAAGTAACAATGTGCCATCCGCATATGATTGGCTGAGTGCTGATCATGTGATTGCTGGTACATGAGGTATGTGTGTTGAGAACCCTCCCAGGGTGCACTGGAGCAACAGATTGATGGACATAAGTTTCATTTTCTGCCTTCGTGCAGTGTTACTGATGTCATTGTGTTTCTACATTGAGTTTCTACACTGTTGAACATCAGATAATATCAGTGGATGTGGTCAGGTTAGGAGTGATATTGGTGTGTGAGTGGTGAGGTTTGTTCACAATATGTCAAACTTTGATTTGTCTTTGTTCTTTTTAGTGTACAAACTTTTATTTTTTTGTATAAATTATCACATATAAGTACACTTCACTCTTCATTGTGAAACCTAAATCGTGATTGTTCTCTCTACTTAACACTTATTATAAATGTGACAAAGCCATTTCTGTCTTTGTTGTCCGCAGCCAAACAACAAATGAATGTACAAAACCTGCTCTCTTCTTCCTGTTTGCACACATTTATTTCAAAAATACAGTTGTGTTTTCATTTTAATTGTATATGATGACAGTTTAAAACTAAAACAAAAAATACTAGGGCTGGATTCTGTTATATTTTTTACATCATGTGACAGGCCAATGGGAGAGGGATGTAGGACCAGAAATGGCCCCCGCAGTTTGAAATCCCTGCTCGAAAACATCTTCAGCTAGCTGTCAATAAGCTGCACTTTTGCAGGTTTGGCTTTACAACAGCTCCAGATGAATTTTAAACCAGCTGTGAAGGTGCAAAGAAATCCAAACTCAACAGTATAATCTGGATATCTCAGATATCCGCGTATGAAGGACGGGGCCCGGCTCTGGAGGCAGAAACGATCTCTCACTGGTTGAGGTAATCCTCAGTGGGTGGAAACAAAACTCCAGCTTTTCTGATCGCAAGGTAGACGAAGCCAAAGATAAAACTGCTCCATATATACATGGAATATGCAGTGTAGTTGGACATGGAGTGAACATGGAGTGTTTTCTTTGAATTTTTGTATGTTTATTAATATTATGCAACAAATCTTTTCTGAAAGTGTTTTTATTTCTCACTGTAGCTGTGTTGGGACCTCCCGATGTGTCCGTGTCAGGGTGTGGGAACTGTTTGCTCCTGCAGCTTAAAATTCCTACAAGGTTTACCGAGCAGCTCCAGATCCTCTACAGAGAACTCGTCTTACATGTGCAAAGGACCAGGGACGGTGTGCAGGTATGTGGCAGCCTTAAAGCTGCACTAATCAATAGTTTTATGTATTTGTAATGGATCAAATAATGTTAAAGTCCAGGTAAAAATTACTTTTTAACCATTTAAGATTGCATCCTCAGTCATATTGTACCCATAATTAACAATTTATGCCAAATGTATTTGTATTTTTATATCAAAATTAAATTGTTCTGCATTTTTGTTACAATTATAGACTAGATAAATTAAACAAAAATAATCTAGGACACCCCCTTGTGTATCAATACTTACATATCACACAACATGTTGGACTATAGCTCCATGATAAGTTTACACATCATTACTTATGATATGTTATGATGAATTAATTATAAAGCTATAAGAAGTCCCACAAAAAATTTTACTTGACTAGACTAGATTTTTTTCCCCTGTTGTTTCCTGCCACAAAGAGGTTATTGCCTTCCGTCCCCACAGTGCGGCTTTGTATGTGGTTGTTTTTGTTTT